GGGATTTTTTGGGACGTTTTTTTTGGGTTGGCCCCTTGGGGGGCCGGGGTTAAAAAACCCTGGTGTATTTTTTTTTAATTTTCATTTTTTTCCCCGGGAAGCGTTTTTTGAAATCCTTTTTTTTTTTCCCGGGGGGGGAGGGTTTTTTTGGGGGGTTTACCCCCCCCTTGGGGGGGGGGAACCCGGGGGGCGGGGGGTTTTTTTGGGGGGCCAAAAGGGGAAATTTGGGGGGGTTTTGGGGGAAACCCGGGCCCCCCCCCCCCCCCCCCCCCGGTTTGGCCCTGAATCCAACGAGTGCAAATCCCTCCCCTCCCGTTCCCTGCCGCTTCCTGAACAGGTGGTGTCTATCAAGGGCGGCTCCGGTGCGGCCAAGCAGCAGCAGATCAAGTCCTTCCTGGCCGAGGCGGGCATCATGCGGCGCCTCAGCAAGAGCCCGCACGTGGTCCGCGTCTTCGGCATCATCACGTCGCGGACGAGGTTAGGGTTAGGGTTAGGGTCAGTTGTTGGCCGATCGCGCTCTCGGCTTTCCTTCTTCTTCTTTTTGAATGCGTACAACCAGTGATGATGCCTTCCCGAGTGGGCTCAGTGCCATCAAAATAGTGAAATATGTAGTAGTCAAGCCTACGCAGCAAAAATGATTAAACAAACATGTGGGATAAAGTATTGAATCCGTGCTTTAGGATTAGGGTTAGGGTTATAGGGATAGGGTCTGCGTGCCCCCTCCCTATTTATTTTTCTAGATACTCTTTCAAATCCTGCGTAGGCGGTCCGAAATATGACGACAACAGCAAGCAAGCAGGACCAGCCCACGGCTGGCAGCAGCCGCGATGGTTGTGGTGTTTCCCCCCAATCTCACACATCTGACGGGTTTTTTGTTCTCGAAGAGCCCGGCGAACGCAGGGTAGTTGCGTGTGTTGGGTGTCTCGGGACTGCCTGCCATGCTCGTAAGGCGATTGGTGGCTTATACATGATAAAGAGAGATGTCGTCGCTGCCTACGGTAGAAGGATTGTGTCTATAGCTCTGACGAAACACCGCTTTGGTGGTGTTACCTCGACATTTTTTTTTTTGCTGCCAAGTTGCTTGCGTTCTTCTGTTTCGGGCTACAAGCTCTCGTCGAAAATAATACCAATCTTTGTGACGAGCTTCGCCAGTTTTTGGTTGAAGGTGCGATTGCACGGCGCAACTGTGCCGAACTGCCTTCGTTGATTCGGACCAGTGTCGCGCGTCTGGGATGGTTGAGATATTTTTCCGGTCGGACAGAAGACTCGTGCTTCCAGCGTAGGGTACATGTTCCGCAGCGACGCACACTATTGCGCCTACGGCGTGACACCGCTACTCTCTACGCGGCGGCTTTGCGTCGTTGCTTGACACGCCTCTCCGATCGTACATCGTACCCCCGTCGCAGCGAGCTGGTGCTGGTGATGGAGTACATGTCGGGGGGTGACCTCTTCTCCTTCATCAAGAAACATCGCGAGGAGGGCCTGGAACTTTCGGCTAAGGTGTGGTTGATCGGACGCAGGGGGGAGCGTACGCAACCCCCGAACACATCATGCCTATTGTTTGTATGGTAGTGTCTGGCCGTGTGGCACGGGATGAATCTCTGCCGTGGCCCGATTTTTTTTTATGTCTCTTGTATCGCGCTGCTGACACCCCTGCTCTCTCGCGCCGGTTTCGTTTCTTGTGGGCGCTCGTTCCCCGTATGTATGTTCAGCTGACGAGGGACCTTGTCGAAGACGTGGCGCACGGAATGGCCTACCTCCACCAACACTCGACCTGGCACGGGGACCTCAAGTCTCTCAACATCCTTCTCGACGCCGATTGTCGCGCCAAGGTGGGGACGACGATGCACCGACTGACCGACCGACCGACTGACCTATGTATCGCTAGAACGCTTGCTGCGGGGCTCTAGTGTAAATAGAGACTGTGCTGTACAACGTTGATGTGGATGAAAAGCACGGGAATCACCAAATATTAACTTTGTCTCTTTCGCTTCCGAAGGCCTCGACAAGAGTGCCGTCTATCGTGCTGTAAACTTTGAAATGACGCAGAAGAAGGCCGAATTCCTGCGGGTCTGAGAGGTCTTTGTCGTCGTCTTTATTGTTTCTTGTGTTTTTTCCCCGCCCCCAGTTTATGCTGCCAATCCTGCGAAATAAATAGTAAGACACGCATTCGATATTTTTGGAGACCTTGCCTGCTCGCCGCGAGTACTGAGCATCCTGGCGTCGCGACATCTGTGTATCGGCCAACGAGTTTTGCTCCAGAGTTCGGGCAGAGCAAACGATAACCACGGAAGCAAGAGTGGTAACCAACGGCAGATTCCACGCTGAAACAGATTTTGATAACAGGAAACCCCCCAACCGACGAGCCAATCAAAATCAAAGTTCGGTTGAGAAAGGTTCATGACTTTTACAGATGCAGCCATTTATTTAGGTTTGGTAGTCGCTATAGGTCTCTCTCTTAATCGTGTGTGTCGTAGATCTCAAGCTCTCTTCTTTGACCGTTTCGGTTGGAAATTGTCCGATTGTTCATAACTCTTTTTGTGTGTGCGCAGATCTCCGACTATTGAACTGTTGTCAAATCTTCTTCAATGTTTTTTTTTTTCGTTCTGTGTGCAGATAGATCTCCGAGTATGGAACTATTGTTAACTCTTTTTCACTGTTCTTTTGTTCTGTGTGCACATCTCCCGACTTGGAACTATTTCAACTCTTTTTCAACGCTGTTTTTTTTTTTTTCTGTCTGTGTGCACATCTCCCGACTTGGAACTATTTCAACTCTTTTTTAATGCTGTCTTTTTTTTTTTCTGTCTGTGTGCACATCTCCCGACTTGGAACTATTTCAACTCTTTTTTAATGCTGTCTTCTTTTTTTTTTCTGTCTGTGTGCAGATATCCGACTTCGGGACTTCCCACTGGACGGAGCAGACCAAGTCCAATTGCGTGCAGTCGCAGACCCCTGGTACCGGAGGGTTCAACCATTTCACTTTCCACTGGGCTGCGCCCGAGGTCCGTTGAACCTTGAAACTTTTCTTTTTAGGCCTGACCTCTTGTCGAATAGTTACCCTTCCACCCATTTCCTTTCGTAATTGTCGGTTCGTTAATATATTTTCTTCTATCCCCGACCTCTTTCTCGAATAAATACTTGTACCCGTACCCTTTTCCTGTTGTCGTTCTCGTCATGTCGCTAGGCTGGGGCGGCCATCCCTCACGGGCATGTACAAGTGTTTTGCTTGTTTGTATGGCAGTGTTTTGTGTGTGTGCCCCGTTTCTCTGCGGTCTGTGTGTGTGTGTGTGTGTTTTCGTCCTATCTATCATGGCGACGGTCCCCCATTTTTCGTGGTGATACGTGTACTCCACTTCTCAGTGTGTGTAGAGGCTGTACCTTCTCCGCAAGTAAATGCTGCTGTCGACAGCAGTGATCGAGATGACTCGATACCAAGACTTTCTCGAACATGTGTCATTCCATGGCTGTTGCTGTTGCTGCTGCTGCTGTGATCTCGGGTCGGCCAGGTTTTGGAGCACGGCAGCGCTTCGGAGCAGCTGAGGAGGGCCAGCCTCGACATAAGCCAGCCCGGCCATGAGCATCACCAGGCAGACCGACGTTCGAGTCCACTCGCCGAAGAGGCCACTCTGCCCGGCCTGAGCTTCAAGAGCGATGTCTACAGCTTCGGGGTAGTGGTGTGGGAAGTGCTCTCCAGACAGGTGCGTGCTGCCAGTGTCACGCGAGGTTGCGGGTGCCGACGAAAGCTATCGAGAACGGTAATGGCACGCCACGTTGTTGTCTCGAAAATGTGACATCTCTCTTCGAACCGATGTCGGACGAGGATGTATGTACCCGGGCAAGAGCTATACCGATGGCAACAATGAAGTGAACGTGGAGAGTGATCCAAAGAGAGGCGAGTCAATGGGCTTTGTTGCGGGGAAAGCAATGAACCACGTTCAAGACTTGTTATTCCTCCAGGGAGCTGAAAAACTTGGGGCCTTTTTTCCACGATCCCCCTACTACGTCCGATGAGAATCAACGCTACGCTGCCCGCTTTTTTAGAGGTTTCGCGCGAAGACGCTGATCAACGCCAGGAGAAATCAAGAGCTCTGTGACTTTACAGCACGAAGGGTCGATATTTTCCGAGGCCAACCACGCAACCCAACGTTCGCACAACCCAGTCGTACAAATGTGCGCACCCTACCCCTTCCCACGCCCCTCGGACGGGCGTACATACCCTCATCTCAGCCAGAGAACCCCCCAGTGCAGTAGTAGTCGTCCCCGCTTGAAATACCCTCATCTCAAGTGAACTCCTCGCTTGACCCTCTTAGTACTGGAAGCCCAAATGGGGACACTTTGGGGACACAGCACTCAAATGCCTAGGCTCCTCTGCGTGAAAAGCGCGTTGGAAAACTTGGGTCTACAGCAGTAGCATGCCAGTATGCTTGTGTTGAGGTGGTAAGCTGTGTGATACACTGCTGTGTGATGCCTCTCCTCGGCCTCTGACTTGCTGTACACCACCTCCCAAGCCGCGTGCCCCCTAGGTGGGTAAAACTGTACTTAGCCTGGTGCTGGAAAATTTTGCTGACTTGGCTTCAGCACGGAAAGTGTCCCCAATGCGCATTTGGGGACACTTTCCATGCTGAAGCCAAGTCCGCCTTCGTCCCTCGGGACTGTACATCCTCCCCCAATGAGCGGACGCAATTTTTTTTTCTGGGCCCATTACCCGTGGCTAACTGCGTACTAGGAGAGAGGGTTAAAAGGTTAGAGGACACAAATAATCTCCAAGCAGGGTGCCCCCACAGATCATAACTTCACAAATTCCAGCAGAATACCGTTTCTCAAAAGACCATTCCCCGCGTTAAAGACGCTTTTTGAAAAAGAAAGAAATCCAATACTTCCCCATCCAACGCTCTGCCGTCGTGCTAACGTCCGTCGTACAGGCTCCCTGGGAACACGTGTCGTGGACGGAGCTTGTCCGGAGGGTTTGCATGACTTGCGAGAGGCCGCCGCTGCCGCTCTCCGCGCCGGCCGAGCTGGCGGTCCTGGCGAGGGAGTGCTGGGCGCACTCGCCGCGGGATCGCCCCACCTGCGACCAGATCGTGGCGCACCTCGCGGGAGAAGCCGGGGCTCTCAATTCCCGGAGGAGGAGGACGACGGGAGGCGGCTCCAGCGGGGACGGAAGACCGTAATTCGAAGGAGTAGGGCTGGGGGGAGGGCGGGGGTCCTCAGAGCCGTGCATGCCGTAGTCGCTTGGCCGTTGACCTCGCATCCTTGCAAAGCCGGGACGGAGCGCGCTGTGGGGGCGGGGTACTCACGTTTTGCATACCGTGGTCGTTAGACCATCGACCTCGGGGGGGGGGGACGTACCCTCATGTTTTTCATGTGTTGCTGTTGACAACGCATCCTTGAGAGGACTTTGCAAGGTACGGCTGGGGGGGGGGGGGGGTCCCCAAAGGGGCGCCCTGAGGGGGCCGCCATTTTCCGGGAAACCAATTTTTAAATCCCCCCAAGCCCACCGCCCCCCCCCGGGTTCCCCAGGGGGGGCCCCCCCCCCAAATTATCCCCCAAACCCCCCCCGGGAAAACCAACCTAAAAGGTTCCCTTAAGGGGGTGTTTTTTCCTTTTTTGGGGGGAAGGCTTTTTTCCGGGGGAAAAAAATATTTTTTAAAGGGCCCCGGGGGGGGGGGGGGGGGGGCCCAAAAAAAAAATTTTTTTTTCCCCCCCCCCCCCCAAAAAAAAAACAAAAAAAGGGGGCCCCCCCCCCCCCCCCCCCGAGGGGGGGGGGGAACTTTTTTTGGGGGAAAACCCCCGAAAAAAAAAAAGGAAAAAAAAAAAATTTCTTCTTT